TGTCCCCGTTCTCCTCTACGCTCGCACGCGTATCTACCTACCTACCTACCTACCTACCTACCTACCTACCTACCTACCTACCTACCTGTCTACCTGCGAGCGTTGTATCTATACACGCCCACCAGTCCACGTCCGATCTCTGTCGCGGATACGTTGAATCCCGCACTTTGTTCTCGCCATTCAACCATCTCTCCTCGATCTCTCCTCGTCCCCTTCACGTTATGCCGCTTCCTCCTTCCCGAGGAGAGGAGAGATTTTTCGAAACTTTGGCCGATCGAATCGTCTTATTCGTCGACGAGGAGGAGTAGTAGTCGAAAGACGATCCGAGAATGGAAGTGGAATGGAACGAGATTGGAGCGAGAGGGGGTTGGAGGCGCAAGTTCGCTCCCCGAGGCGCCTGAATCCGCGCGGCGGATGCACCAGGATTCCCTCCCGTTCGCATTTCGTTCTCCTCCACTTCCAGCAGCATTTTAATCCAGGGAAACCGGGGGACGTCACTCCACCGCCCCGAATAATCAGGCTGAAATTCGTTGCGAGCGTAGGCAGCGGGCGCGCAACAAAAGAACGGCGGCGATATTAGTCGGCCGAAACTGCGCGCTCTCGCAGTCGTCGCCGCGTCTGTGGAAAAGTCGGGGCCGACATCGCTTGATCCTTCCGTTGCCTCTCGGCAGCGCCTGGCGATTTACAGGCCTCCTCGAGGAGGATCGTTAAGCGCCTCTTCGATTAATAATCTTCTTTCGCGCGATCAATTGTGCAGCGATCGATATTTTTCTTCCTCTTTCGAGTACTCGGAAGCAAAGTATTTATTTGTAAGTATTTCTTGAAAATTAATATGATTGATGATTACTGGACTCGAATCATTCTGTTATTGGGTTTGATTTTTGGATTTTCGAGTAGGAAGGGTGAAATAGATAAGCATATTACGATAAAAAAGAAATAGATAAAACATTAGACAGTTGTTATCAGTTTAGAGAAATTATTTTGTGAAAATATTTAAATCAATTGGATTTTTCTGTTATATTAAGAATCCGTTTCTATAGATAAGTTTTGTATTCTAAATATATATTCTTATTCTTGAATACGTTATTACAGGAAGACCAAGTTTCCCCCCAAGTATTTATTTACTTTTACCACTTCGCAAATGAAACAACCGAACTATTTATCGAATCTTAAACGATACTCAATTTTATATCACCTATTAAAAATTTTATATCATTTATATAAAATTTATATAAGATAAACAGATAAGCGTGTACGAAAATCGAATTCGACACATAAAGACAGCAAAACAGTTACTATTTACACGCAAAATAATAAATTACAGAAGAAACAATTAACCAACCTCGAACTTTCAGAATCTTCCATTCTCCTCCATTCAAAAAAGAAAAAAAAAAAAAAGAAGAAGAGAAAATCCACGATCGCATCGATCCATCCACGTAGCCACGAAAAGAAAGAGCATCGTCGTGTTGGCACGGCGAGTCGGCGCGCGAAAGAGAGAGAAAGAGAAACAGAGAAAGAGAGAGAGAGAGAGTGCGTCGGCGGGTCTCGTCGCGTCTGTTTGGCGCATCGACGCGTTGCACACGTTCGTGTCCGACTTGGAAATAAGAAGAGGGAGGGGGGAGTAGCGCGAGAGCGGGAATGAATCGCTGCCACTCAAGGAGCAAGAGACGGACGCGGCCCGACCCGACAAGGCCGCGCTCTCTCTCTCTCGCTCGCTCGTCCAACAGCAAGCACCACTGAAAACGCCCGCCACCAGGCAAGCCTCGTCGATATAACTGTGTCCACCACCGATAACTGCAAAGTTTCGAGCCACGGTTGCCAAGCGGGATACCGTTCCTCGTCGAGAGATTCATCTCCCAGAAATTCCTCTCCTCCTCCGTTTCGGCCGTCCATCCGTCCGCGTATATCCATCTCTCTCTCTCTCGAATACGTGTCCATCCAACTCCACCACTCCATTCCAACGCGTATCCACTCGGCTTAATTATAATACGAGAGATATTTATTGCCACGCGTATCGTCTATTTCCGTCCGAGGACCGTAGGTGGACCGGGCGAGAACCGGGTATCGCGATCCAACTCTGGCTTCTCAACGGGGCGCGAGAAAGAAANTTCCCGTGGCGCGCCTCCATCCACGTCAATTATTCCGATTACACACCGTACGGTTACGCTTGTCGGAATCGATCGGGAGCGAATAACGAGGAATAAAAAGGAGGAGAGGAAGCCATCCGTGGAGAGGAAGACCTCGCTTTCGCCTCTGTCTCTCTCTCTCTCTGTCGAGTACTCGCAATTAATATCGCCACGACCTCGATCCGTCTCTGGCTTTCGTTTCCTTTCTTTCGTTTCCTTTCGTTTTCTTCGCTCGTGATAGGAGCGCGACCGCAGAGAGGCAAAGTTCGAGGAGGCACCCATCCGAGACGGGCTCCCTTCTAGTTCCCTGCTCGTCTATCTGTGTAATACGCGTATCGCGAGGATGTATATGGAGGAGGGGGAGGAGGAGTTTCCGTTGGAAACGTTGACGTTTAATCGACGTTCAACGCTTGTCCAGATCTCGACGAGGGGCTACGTGTGTTCGAGGATGGAGGGGAGGGGGGAGAAGGAGAAAAGAGAGAAGGGAATGGACGCCAAGTGGACGCGGTACGTCCTCCCGTCCGTCACGTTGCCGCCGTCAGATTATCGTTCCGACACTTTCGAGTTATTCCGGCCATGCGCGCCTTTTCGCCTCGCTCTTCTCTCTCTCTCTCTCTCTGCGTAGGGGGCAGAGGAGGGAAGAGGAAGGAGCGATGCTCTTCTCCGGAGGGTGCTTCGAACGATCGCAACGTTTCGCTCCTTTTAACCGACGAGAAGAAGAAGAAGAAGGAGAAGGAGAAGAGGGAGAAGGAGAAGTCTGTCCCGTAAGAGACTTGGCGTAAGAGATCGAAGAGAGAGAGAGAGAGAGAGAGAGGAGATTTCGAGAGCCAAGAATCTGGTACCTGGGTATTTGAAGTCCGGTCGACCCGTTTGACCGGTGTCGATCAAATTTCCGAGGACGAGATTATTCAAGGCCGACAACGATCGAGACAAAGCTCCTTTCGCGGCCGCACACCTCCTCCCCCTCCTCGCGCAGACTCTTACTTTCTCTCTCTGTCCCTCGCGCTTCCATCCGCCTCCGCGAGCCAATTTCCAAAGCTCTCCTCGATTTCTCTCGTGGAAATCAGCCTCTCCATTCTGCGTGTTATAATAACCGTGGAAACGAGAGAAACGCGCGACACGCGCCTCGTTCGATTAATAAATTCGATCATCGTCCCGGATTGGATTATCTTTTCGGGGGACGAGG